GGGAGCCCGATGCGGGACTTGATCCAGGGACTCCAGGATCATGACCTGAGCCGAAGGCAGTCGCTTAACCAACTGAGCCACCCAGGCGCCCTACTCTAGTTTAACTTTTATAGGATTTGTTCCTACCATACTAATCAAATAAAACTTGAAAATGTCAAAAAAAAAAAAAAAGATACCTCCTTTGCCTACTTTCTTCACTTCCAACTCTGGCATCTGGTACGCAGTCCAGTTCAGTGAATGTCTGTTGAATTGAGCTGTTGAACTTAATTCCAAGCTACCAGGTCACTTCCACAGCTGGCAAGATTCTTCTAGAGCATGAGTTGGCAAATTTTTTTCTGTGAAGGCCAGATAGTAAATATCTGAGACTTTGCGGGCATAAGGTCTCTGGTACAAGGGCTCCGCTAAGCAGCCACGCACAATACATCACGAATGGTCGTGGCTGTGTTCCCATAAATTTGATTTACAAAAACAGGTGGTGGTCATAGTTTGCCAACCCCATCTTAGCCCCCATATCCTTACCTTCCACTAAAAAGTGAGAGTAAAATTGACAGCATGCCAACAGGCTCTGTAAAGATTTCATTCGTATCGGTAAAGGGGCTAACAAAAAGAAACAATAAACCTTTTCATGTCCACCTCCACCCCCCACTTACCCATCTCCTCTCATAAGGACCAAGTCTAACTGTTCCACCATTGAGCCCGAGGTTTAATAGGCAAGCATTTCTAGGAGAGGCGATACATTAACGTTCCAGCCCCATAAGCGTAGACTCTTCACATCTGATCCCAATCTCCAAGTAGATCATCTTAGCACCAGGGGAATAAATGCAGGAGGTTACAGAGGGACACCCCCAGGGAAGAGACGCCCATGGAAAAAGCTCAGGCCGTAGAGAGAGATGCCCTTGGGGCTTACTCTTTAGTAAAAGCAGAAAGGTAATAAATGAATCGTGCAGCAGGTTTTAAGGTGTTAAGCACCGTGGAGAAAGACGAAACAGAGCAGAGTAAGGGCCATTGGCAGGCTGGGTGGAGTGAGGTGGTAGGACAAAACAAGGTGGTCCAGGGAGGGCTCATTAGGAAGATGCCATTTGAAGCAGAGCCCCAAGATGAGCCAATGAACCAGGCAGATATCTGTGACAGTCTGCCAAGCAGAGGAAACCACCAATGCAAAGGCCCTGGGGCAGACAGTGCTCTGAATATTGTAGGAGGAGCAAGGAGGCCAGCTTTCAGAGGGGCAATGTGAGGTAGAAGAATCATGAGATGAGGTTAGAGACAGTACTGGTGGACCAGAAGAGGGGGGACCAAGGGAGAGTTCAGACTGGAGGAGTGGCAGGACTCGAGTTACATTGAAAAGAATCACTCCGGCTAGCCAGTGGCCAACAGACCTCCAGGAGCAAGAGCAGAAGCAGGGAGAGAAGTCAGGAGGCAAGGGCAAAATTGCAGGTGAGGGACGGTGGCGATTTAGACCAGCAAGTAGCAGAAGAGGCGGTGAAAAGTGGCCACATTTGGGATATATTCTGAAGAGAGAGCTCACCATATGGTGTGAAGGACTGGATGCTGGGTGCGAAGGAAGGGGAAAAGGCAAGGGTGATTCCACATTCTTTGGCCTGAGCAGCGGGAAAATTTGTGTTGCTGTTATCTGAGAGGGGACGACAATGGGAGAAGGTAGTGTGGGGGGGCGGGGGCGGGTCAGCCGGGAGGTCGGCACTGGGCGTGGTGAGTTAGACACGTTTATTAGACATTCCAAGTAGAGATGGACAAGGTGACAGTCGAATGAAAGTCTGGAATTCAGGGGAGAGGAGCTGGCTGAAATTTGGAATCATAAGCATATAGATGGCGTTTTAAAGCCATGAGTCAAATGCATTTTTTAAAGTGAGAAAACACAAAGGTCAGCCAGAAGCCAGAAGAGGCTCTTTCGTGCTCTCTCTCTCTCCCTCTTTCTCTCTCTCTCACACACAAAATGGATCCCATCAGGTTCTTTCTTGTGCTAAAGACAAGCGCTCAAGCGAACAAGCTTGCTTACATCATGAAGTCAAATTATCTCACGCATCCCGGCAGAAGCTTGTTGCCTGCTAAAGGCTTGCAGGAACAAGCTTTAGAACACGTTCCTAAGGGTCTCACCGGGCACAGGTGACAATGTAGACTATCATTTGAACAAATTAAATCATGTAATCGACATAGCAGGTTGCCACAACAAGTTAGAATGAAACTGAAGACATGGAAAACACAGAGCCGAAGAAAGGTCCGGGAGAGGTGGCAGAGGAAGTGAATGAATAGTGACTTGGCCAAATAAATGGGTACTCTGGTTCACCCTGAGTTTCTTGAATGATTGCCTACTTTATTCCCAGAGACCGAAGAGCTGTTTGGGGTCCATCAGTGGCTCATTTGCTATCAGGGTGTAAGCTCCCCTCTTGGGAATTCTTCTGAGGGACTCTTTGCCCCTTCCCAAATTCCAGTTTCAAACAGAAACATTGACAATAGCTCTGTAAGCTATTTTTCACACACTCTACTGTAATTAAACCTTTCCTTGGGGTTCTGCCTCCACTAGACATAAGGCCCCTGAAGATGTGGGCGGCCCCTGTTTTGTTGACTTCTGTCTCCGGCCCCTAACAGAATGCTTAGCACATGGTCGGTGCTCAAGAACACTTGACTGAATGACAAGAAAATAGAAGTGTTGCTAGTCCTGTGTCCACTCAAGAGGAGACCTCTTTGAAAGTCGGTAGCTTCGCTCTCCTCTGCCAACCCGAGATTTCGTCACACCATGGATGTTGCCAAGTAAGTTAAAGTAGCCGACCGTGTATGAGCTAATACGGTGTGTCGCTGCATACCAAAAGGAGGATTGAGGCTTTCGGCTGTGGATAGCAGAGCCTCAACGAATTCGTCAGGTTTATCACATAGGACGAGTCCGTGCACCCCAGAGAAGAGGGTGGCATGAGGAAAGCCGAAAGTTGCGATCCTGTCATAATGACGTCGAGTGACAATCACACTTTTTCCTTGCAAGCGTGGTGCCTGCTCCCGGAGCCAAAGCGATCTCTTTTCCACTTCTGGATTTCTTAATAACGTAAGGTGTGGACATGTGCTCCTTCTCGGTCATATTAACTGTCCTTCTCTGCCACATTTCCTGCAGCGTCCCTTCGTCCAGTGTTGAGTTGAAGCTTTCATTGCTTATTCTCTGCGCTCTTCGGCGTTACCTCATGGTTTCCTGATTCGTGAGAGAAGCCAGCGTCAGAAGTGGGGTTTTGCCGAGCTATTTTCTGGTCCTTTGCAGCCCAGAGCTCTATAAACAAAGACAAGGTTATCACATGTCCCCGAGGGCTGCCTGGGAAAAACAGGAGCTGTGGTTATCAAAATTGGAACCTTTATGAAATAGGCTTTTGTCTCCGTTTTTGTTGCATTCAATCAGATCAACAAGTGTTGGCTAAGTGTTGAGCGTGGTTTCCTGTGGGATTGTGTAAGGCCCTTGCAGGACAATAAACGTTTTGGGGGCACTGAGTAATGTAGCCATTTCTGACCCAGCAGCCGGGGAAAATGTGAGACATTCGCGGCTGCGGCTGGAAGGAGGGCAGCTGGGGCTTGCGTTCGGGCAAGAGCAGAGGAACCGCACCGCGGTGGACCCCGGCGGCGGATAGAGCCAGAATGGTGCGTTGCGGCGGCCGGTGGCCACACGATGTCATATCCTCCAGGCAAATGGGTTCAGAACGACGAATATGAAATAGCTGGGGCTCCTCCGGGGACTTTGGAGGAGACCATGTAATTTGGAGGCCTGCGACGGTTTTACTGCCAAGTCCTCCCCCAGCTCAGCAACCTCGCTCAGGCAGGCTGTCAGGTTGTGTGTATGGCCGGCAGCTCGGCGGGCTCAGCTCCGGCGGGCTCAGCGCCTTTCCTCTGCTGCTTCCCTCGGTCCTCGTCCGCAGGCATTGCCCTTCCGCGACTTTGCATACTGGCTTCCTGACTGCTTCCAAAAAGATAGAGAGATGTTCGTCTTACCCGCTTTTATTTAATCTGTGTTTTTATGGTGTTACTTTAACTACAAATACTTGTTCTCAGGTTTCTGAAGGCTTCCAACGTCTGGGGTTTGGGGGGATTTTAGGTGGCGATGGAAAGATGGGGGAGGTGAAGCTTTCAGGAACAGCCACCGCCAGATAATGTTGAGAGTTCTCGCGGACCAGGACAAGTTCACTGGATTTAAGAAGGAGGGCGCGTGTATCGCGGTTTAGGTCAGGGCTTTCCAAACTCTCATGAGCACACGAGGCACCTGGGGATCTCGCTAAAATGCAGATTCTCAGGGTCTGGGGTGGGAACTGAGCGTCTGCATTTCTCACAAGCTCCCGGGCTACGCTGATACCGTCAGTCCGTGGACCACAGCCGCAGTGACATCCACGTATTGATTTGTAAGAAACCCAGTGGCACAAGAACACAGTCAGTCAGGGGCTGGTTCACCCTGAATCTAAGGTAAGCCAGCCCAGGACTGAAAGCTTGAAACCGACGTACAGGGCAGGTGCTTGCGGACAAGACAATGCACCCGGCGTCTTCCTGCCACAACCCCCACCCCCACCCCCGCCCCGTGCTGGGAAGAGGGATGAGAACTGAGATTTTATCATCAAGGCTCATTTCATTCTCTTCAGTTTTTAACCTTTCCTATGGTCTTTTTTTTTTTTTTTTAACTTTACCTAGGGAGTGATGAGGGGAAGGGGTACAGAATTGGGGAGTATCTGCCAGCGTGCTAGGCATCATACTGCCGTTTTCTCTCAACTCCTACTGACCCTTCGAGGTGGTTACTGTTTTACTCCCTTTACGGATGGGGAAGATGGGCTTTTGCAAGGTTAAGTAACACGCCAGGTTGCACAGAGCTGGAGCAGAGATTTGAACCCACCAGCTGGGTGCTTCTCCCCTGACCAACCCTGACCTAAGCAGTGCTGTGCGTTACTAATTCAGCATAAGGTATTAGGACATGGCTTTACCACCTTTTGCTTTTTTCCTAACTACTCCAAAAGGTGACTGAATTAGGACATACCCCATAGGATGGGGGGGTTAGGCCTACCCCACAGAGTAAAGGAATGCATATTTTTTTTCTTTTCAAAGGTTTTATTTATTTGCTAGAGAGAGAGAGAGCACAAGCAGGGGGAGCGGCAGGCAGAGGGAGAAGCAGGCTCCCCGCTGAGCAGGGAGCCCAAGGTGGGACTTGGGATCGCAGGACCCTGGGATCATGACCTGAGACAAAGGCAGCTGCTTAACTGACTGAGCCACCCAGGCATCCCACGAATGCATATTTTTAAGGTGCTTTAAATAGTGCCTGGCATAACGCAAGCCCCCTTTAAATGTTAGCTAGGATTATTATTGCTACAATCACTCATATCCTTCAAGGTCCAGTTTTAATGTCCTCCCTTCCATAACGTCTTTCTTGATTATCTTAAGAAAAAGAAACAACTTTCCTTCCTTGGGCCATTCAGAACAAAGAGAACATGGGCTCTGCTCTAGCATTTCAGTTGTTCCTTTCCCCCCTTTTCTTTTTCAGTCGTGGTTCAGTGCCCATGGTGTGCCCAGAACTTTGACATAAGCTTTCTCATTCGTGTCCCGTAAAGATGAGAGAGCTATATAACCCATCTCATATATCTGGATCAGAAAACTGAAGCTTAGCGCAGGGAAGGGGCTCGGTCAGGGTGACCCAGCTCATAAATGACAGCCCTGTAACCTCCTCCATGCCTTCTGAGTCCACTGCCGTCCAGCCACCTCGCACGTTAATTAGCTATGAAACCTATCTCTCAAGTCTGCTCCTTGTCACTTGGGCAGTGGAGAGCTGATCCTCGTTTCTGGAACCACTCACTCGAGGTCCGGCACGCTGCAGGCTCAAAATCAAGTGTGCTGGAGAGACCTGCAGAGCTGAACTCCCTACTCTCCTGATAACATTTCCTTACAAATGCTAAGTAACCATGGAGAGTCCAAGTCACGTTAATTTAGCATTCACCTCTTACGCATGTTATGGGTTACATAACAGTTGCTGGCTTCCCTAGAGAAAACGCTATATTGGTCTCTGACAGTATTTTTGGTTTTGTTTTTTGTTTTTGCCTCCCCTGCGCTTTAATCTCTCTCTAGTTTCTTGTGCTTATGGAAATAGGCAGCCTGGGCTATTTGGTAAGCAAATTGATGTATCTATTCCATGTAGGTGGTAATATGAGAGCCCAGCCAAATCCTGCCGGCTCTTCTATGGAAATAGATTTCTGGCTAATACTAACTAGCTTTAGGATCCCATTTCATTTTATTATTTTTTTTATATTTTAAAGATTTTATTTATTTACTCATGAGAGACAGAGAGAGACAAAGAGAGAGGCAGAAGCAGAGGGAGAAGCAGGCTCCCCACCGAGCAGGGAGCCCGACACGGGGCTCGATCCCAAGACCCTGGGACCATGACCCGAGCCGAAGGCAGACGCTCAACCATCTGAGCCACCCAGGCGCCCCTCTCATTTCATTTTAAAAGTGTTTTTTTAACCTTCCCAACTGAATATACCTTAAATATGGGCAGGCAGAGCCGAATTTGTTAGCCGTCGGGCAGGCATTTGAGTCAACAGTGGTACCTGAGCCTGTCGACTTATCGTCCTGATACAGGGAGGCAATATTACATTTCTAAAAATTAGTCATCACTCATTATCTCTTCCTATACCAAGGGAGATCATAGAAATGCCTTCATTTTAGAATCTAGGCTAACGTAGGAGAAGAGTACAAGGAAGCGATAGAAGCAAATAGAAGTAGAAAGGCAGGTCCAATCTGGAGCAGGAACCAGGTACTGTCCTAGAAGAAAACTGATCTGGATGAGACCAAAGCGTGAGTCATCAAAACGGGGTTCTTCAAGTTCGTTAGGAAGCTCCGGGGGCCAGCTGAGGGAATAGAACTCTGAAGGTCTCCAAAGACATGTGTCCCCAGGTGTGTGTTACATGAGAACAACAGATTACAGACCTATCTGCACAGAGTGTGAGCGCATGTTTGTGAAAATAGACACATGCACAAGTATATTCGGAAAAATCTAGAGGTACGTTCACCAAGATGTTAACAGGTTTTTTTTTCTTTTGCTTGTTGGTAGTTCTTAATTTTGTAGAATAAACACACATCACGTTTGATTTTAGAAATGAAAGCCAAAAAATTCACAAAAGGCAGAGCTTTGGAATGAACAATTTTGTCGAAATTTGACAAATTATATTGCATCAGATGCAACAACAGGAATGAAGTCCTGGAGATTGACAAGAGAATGTGCTCGAGGACTTGGTACCCTCCTTTCTAGCCAATGTTCTTCTTCCCTTCAATATACAGAAGCAACCTTGTGAATTTCATTTGTCAATGGTGTCTGTGACTCACCATATTAATCTTTTAGATAAAATCTCCCCCCAAATCTTTAATGTAATGAATGTAAATTTCTATAAACAGAAAAGTGTGTGTATGGTCATGCGTACCGGGAAAGGCTGCTTCCTGCCTGGGATGTTGGGATTTGCCTTTTTAAAATAGTGCTTTTAATGTTACAAGTTCATTCAGCAACTGAAAAAGTTTTGAAAAGTAAACTTTTTTTTTTTGAAAAGTAAAAATTTTGTATTCAACTAACCAGATCTATTTAACTAGCATTCCGCTTTAAGGAGTCATGTTTTAGCTGTGGATCTAAAAGACGTTTGACAAAAGTTTTCACAGTTTTCTTTGTATGCTTTGTTAGTAAAATTTTAGAATGCAGGAATGTAAAAGGCAAAAGTGCCTTAAAACTATGCCCAGTGTGGTATGGCTCCCCAAAAGGGGAATGCACCTCCAAAAAACTAGATCCTCCACAGTTTCAGTAAGTCATCAAGGAAATTCTCTTCCGGCCATAGACTTTGGGTGTAGAAAATCATCTTATCTGAAGAGGTGCATGTATAGAGTTTCTAACAAAGGCTGGGTTTACTGCCACCAACCTCTGCCCCATCTTTGAGTCCGGGGGCCAAGAAACCAGTGACCATGACAAATAGCACCCACTGTGCTCAAAAGAAACCCACTCTACTTTCCCAAAGGAATTAGACTCGCCCCGCCCCGCTAAAACAATATTCAAAACAGAAAGTAACCAATGGATAAGATTTGTAATGGATAAGATTTCCATTACTTCTGCCTCTAAACCAAACGATGCCCTTAGAGAACATGTGAGGGATTAATAAATAGCCACTTCATCTGTATAAATAATGAACATAGGCTGATTTTCTTGATTCCCGTTTCTAGAGTGGTGTGGTCTATGTCAGGAGGGAAGCTGGCTGGACCTGACTGTGGTTTATTCAATGTGTCTCCCTTCCCTCCCACTTCCTTGCCATAGTGGGCCCATTATGCTCAGGGCCCGTGAGAAGTGGCCTTTAGTGATCGGACAGGTTCACTTGGCAACCACCCCCCCCATCCACACAGAGCAATGCCTATGTGGGTGCTTCCTGATGGAGAGTGATAAATAGGATGCAAATATTTTCTTTGTAATGCATGATCCTGGCATAGCCAAAGGGAACATGAGTGCCCCAGAGCAGCAAGGTTTTGCTTAGAGCTCGAGGGTTGAAGTTAAGGACCCACAAGCGCACCCTGGCTGATCGAATGCAAGGTGAGTAAAGGTAATGACATTCAGATTATCAGTAAACAAAGGAAGATAGAAACTATTGAACATCTGACGGCTAGTATTCATGTGATTTCGCAAAGCAAAGAAGAACATAAGAAAGTTGATCTCTCGTGGCCTACTGCTTAACATTACTTTTTTTTTTAACATTACTTTTCATTACCAGACCTGATATCGGACTGAGAGTTGAAGCAACAGTCTTAGTAGAACCAGAAAATTAATGGATTTATTTTCTAGAATTACCTCAAGCTTTAATGTTCTCCATGGCTTTGGAAGGAAAAGCAAGAGTGTTTTTAATTTGTAAGGTACCAATTTTGTTCAGTTCTTTTAGATTGATTTTGATGGCATTTTTAAACGTTTTGTTCTCAGAAATATTGAAAAGTAGACCCCTGTCCTTTATGTTAAAGATCGGATCATGATCGGGAACTGTGGGGATCACTTACAATGATATCAGAGTCTCACAGTGGCCCAGATGATCGGGTCAAACAGCCAGCCACAGTGTTGGAGAGAAATGTGTTGATCAGTCACTTCAGATATGGTGAGCTGTCTGGAGTTCAAATATTTCAAAGTTTGATCATGTCCAATTCAATTCAACAAATGCCTACAGAATGCTTAAGGAATAAGGAGAAATTTGATAAGGTGGTCTGGAGGGTAGTACAAAGACAGTGCATTTACGACCCGGAGTGGGAGGCAAGTAAAACACATGAAATGTTGTAAACAAATCAACATATTTATAAAAGCCAGGGCCAAGGCCGTAGGAATGAAGGGCAGGTGTATGTGTTTTTGAGTCTGCTTAGTTAAAATTTCTTCGCTAATCCTAAGCCTGATTTGTAAAAACTGTATTATTTATATTATCCCTGAATGAGAAACAGTTGACTCAAAATTCTGAAGGCTAAACGAGAATGTAGCTAGGTGCTGCAAACACTCATTTTCATCATTTTATTTTACTTAGGACGACAATATGGACACAAAATCCATTCTAGAAGAACTTCTTCTCAAAAGGTCACAGCAAAAAAAGAAAATGTCGCCAAGTAATTACAAAGAGAGGCTTTTTGTTTTAACCAAAACAGATCTCTCCTACTATGAATATGACAAAATGGTGAGACCCTGCTTATTCGATTGTGTTTATACTATTTATATATCTTGAGTCTCCACAAAGTGCTTAATTATAATGAAACAATGTCCCGTTTCTTAGCTCACACAGCCAAGATCAACTTGCCTTCACTTATCACATTGTCTTTTCTTAACCAAGGTATGATTAAACCAAGATCAAGGGCTTTAAAATATTGGCTAATTTTACTAAGGCAAATTGTAACTTTAGAACACTGGTCCTTGACTGAGGGTGATTTTTGGCCCCCAGGGGACATTTTTGGTTATAATTTGGGGAGGGGTGTCTAGTGGGCTACTGGCATCTAATGGGTAGAGGCCAGGAATGCTGCTGAACATCCTATAATGTACAGAACAGCCCCCATCACAAAGAATTCTCTGGCCCCAAATAGTGCTGAAGATAAGAAACACTGTGCTGGAAATCAGACTAATTCTATTCAGCTAAGAAGTCTATCAGAGTAGAAATCCTAAAATACTGTCCTAAAATTGAAACAAAATTAAGACACTCTCTGGGCGGGGGGGGTGCCCAAGTGGCTCAGTCGGTTCAGCCTCGGACTCTCGATTTAGGCTTGGGTGGTGATCTCAGGGTCGTGAGATCAAGCCCCATATCCAGCTCCGTGCTGGGCATGGAGCCTGCTTAGGATTCTCTCTCTCCCTCTCTCCCCCCCACCCCCCCCCCCCGCCGCCAAATTTTAAAAGATGCTTTCTGGAGTTAAATCTTGATCTTCCATAGATTAAGCACATGGCAGATGATGGAAATATGTTTCAAGATTATTAAACAAAATTAAGGGCTGCTTCTAGACTTGCTTTTGGAGGAGTATATGAGTTTGTGCCCACACTCAAAAATATATTCTGTTGCCACTGGATTTTGACTATGATGGAACAATTGGAAAAATTCTCACATACCCGTCCCATCTCTCAATCTCCCGCCTAGGATAACCTTCACTTTATGCTTTTCTTTGTGTCCCATTGTTTATCGCATGACACATCTTATATTTTGGTTTTTAAATCAGAGAAGAGGCAGCAGAAAAGGATCAATTGAGATTAAGAAAATCAGATGTGTGGAGAAAGTAAATCTTGAGGAGCAGACCCCTGTGGAGAGACAGTACCCTTTTCAGGTAAGAGGGACCACATTCTATTACGAACTCCATATATTGGCAATAACAAAAGATGTTGCAAAATGGCCAAGACAATGACAAGGCTTGGAACCTCCCCAGATGGGAGCTGGGCACTTTGTTGAAATTCGACCTACCAATCTGCTTTCCCTAGAGTGAGAGAAAGAAAGAGGAGCAAGTAAGCCACAGGGGGCTGACTTGCCTTGGGGCCTGACAGTCTCTTTCATTAAACGTTGCTGAGCATTTCTAAGGGGCTCCAAGGTACTAGGCACACTACAAGGAATCAAATGCCATCCTCATCCCCAAGGCATTTGCAGATCATTATAATGAGGGTGAGTGTGAAACTGAAGGAGCCGTGGTGTCCTGGGAAGCGGAAGATTCACTCCTCACTCTCCAATTGGAAGAAACCAGGGGGGTTTCTTGGAGGATGCTTCAAATTCGTATCACAGAGGCATGGGACGCTCAAAAGGGCACAGGCTTCGGAGGTGCCCAGAGCTCCTAACCCCACAGTTGGTATTGGCATTCCCATAGGCAATGTGCTCAACCCTCTATCCAAGTTCGTTTCTTCATTCGCCAAGCAGGCATAATCGTCCACATTTCACAGAGCCGAGACAGGATTAAGATCTTAAAGTGTCTAGGAAAGAGCCCAGAAACTAGTAGCTATTTAATAAAGGATCTGTATCATTTACTCATAAAAACTGAATGAATAAACGAGAGAGGGATCTGGGGAAGACATTATAATGTTCTGACATGTAAACAAGCATCTTAAAGAAGAGACAATGATTTCTGCTGGGGATTCCTTGGGGAGGGACCTGGCCCAAGGGAATGAAGTAACAGGGAGACCTATTTTTACTCAATATAAGTATGAACTATATAATGATCAGAATATATGGAAATTGCCAAGGATGGCTTAGCAAAAGTAAAGGACATTTCATCCCTAAAGATATTTTTAAGGATAGAGCAGGTAAACATTTTCCAATGGGCTATAAAGAGAGTCATGCACTGGGTCGGTGGATGGACCAGAACATTCCTAACACACCTGTAATATCTAACATCTTAGACTTTTATAATTCTCCATGGTCCAGGGCACCCATGCCGAGACCTCAATGTTCACTGATGTCAGATGCATCGTTGCTGTGATTTTCCCAAGTGTAGAAGTGTCTGGGATAAAACAAACTGAGAGGCGGAGGGTAAAAATAACTAGATTTTTTTTCCATCTAATTCCAGAGCAAATGCCTATTTTATAAGCAAACTCAACTTTTCTTTGGGATACCAGGAAATGTGCAGTCACGCCGGAATGAACCATGGATGCAATTGTATCTAAATGCATCCAATCTTTTCCTTTCCAGATTGTCTATAAAGATGGGCTTCTCTATGTCTATGCATCAAACGAAGAGAGCCGAAGTCAGTGGCTGAAAGCATTACAAAAAGGTAATGTTAAAAAGTCATTAAAGGGAGTCCTCCATGGAGTTCTGTTGAGGCTTGGCGGGGAGAGATATGGCAGTAGAAGGACCCATGGCCAAGAGAGAACCTGCTGATTTTCCCAGGAACCTCAGAGAACGTGCCAGGCTCACTGTCATTTTGCATTCTCATTGTTACATGGAGCAAACCTGTGGCTCGCATTCCCTTTCCTGCCCTGCTCAGAGCGAGCTATTGTGCCTTCCCAGCAGGCAGCCTGGAGGAAGCCAGACCACCTGCTCCCCACCCACTGTGCTTCCCTTTCCCAGGGCAGTCTCCATTCTCCCGGGGCTGTGTCAAGGCCTGTGGCTACCGGACTTTGGCTGTTTACAGAAAGTTCTATCCTACGACTTATCATCTGCCAACTGCTATGTCAAGTACTTTGTAAAGCATTTCCTTAAGTAATCTTCTTGACAAGTCCATGGAAAGGGGTGATCTTATTCTCCCTTTTCCAGATAAGTGAAGTTAAAGAGACATGGCCGGGGTCACGTACCTAATAATGGAGAACTCACAATTCGACTACCCCAACCCGGCCTTTTAACCAGTGTGGTATCAACCCTAGGCAAAACTGAGGATTTAATGGAGCTTTTGCTCAGGGATTCTCAGGTTGCTGTGGTGACAGCCCGCGGTAGAAGAGAGAACACTGTTGGTAATTTGGCGCTGTGATGTTTCTCCCCGTGATATTCTTATTTGAAAGGTAGGTGATAGTATGAGGACAGTATATAACTCGAATGAATGACTCTACTGGTGGAATTTCAGATATTAAGTCCCCAGATCGGGTGAGGTTTTGTTTTCTTTCGATTAGGGTTCTTTCGCAGTGTACTTCAAAGTATATCACGTTAGACAACCCCCTACTCCACTTTGGTGCAAATACATTTTTTTTTTTACACATAGGGCTTCATTTTTCCTCTGCATGAAAGGGTTTAGCAACCTATCCTGTAGGATAGTCAGGTGGTCCAGTGAGGGGAGAAGCCTCCCTCTCCCTGCTCCCAGCTTGTTGAAGTGAGAAGGGCATCTGTCTTAGAGACAGATAAATCTACATCCAACTCCTGCTTTGCTGTGTTACCTAATGAAACCTCTCTCACATCTCACATCTCTGGACCTCAGTTTCCTAACCTATGAAACAGGAGGTCACGTTGCTTCTTTCCTCGAGTGATCTTGAGCCACAAATGAATGACTCACATATATATTAAAGCATCCGACACACAAACGTGAGTCGCTGTGGTTAGAGTGGGGCCTCCAGGACGAGCCCTAAGAGGCTGTTTCCCATTCAGTCTCCTCCGGGGGGACTTCCTGGGAGCAGCTGCTATGTGGACACCTCCGGTGTGCAGCTTTGAGTCATGCCCTAGAGTCTTTTGTGGGTCTTTCTGGAACTATGTACGGCAGGCAGGTTTGGGTGGGCCCTGGAGAGCTCAGGTAAAGGCATATGGAGCATAAAGGAAAGCAGACAGAAAAAGCGAAGGTGAATCTCTTGGCCCCTCGTAAAACTTCAAAGGGACCCTATCACTAGGGCTGCCATGTGCACAGGAAGCCACGTGTATCAGTTAACGATGCTTTGGGATGCAGGTAAAAAGACGCCAAGCAGCTGTTGAAACAAATGCACGTCGGTTCCTCTCACACAGTTAACAAGTCCGGAGGTAAACGGTCCAGGGCAGGGGCAGCAGCTCAGGGAAGTCAGTGGGGACCCAGGCTCCTGCGAGCTTTCTGCTCTGCCACCCTTAGAGGCTCTCGGAAAGGCTCTGAGCTTTTCCAGAAGCGTCCCCTGCCAACTTCTGTAGATGTTTTACTGGCCGGAACTCTGTCTCATGACCACCTCTATATGCAAGGGAGGCTGGAAGTCAGTATCTGGTTTTTCTAGCCTTCCTGCTGGTAAATAGCAAGAGAGAAGGTGGGTGAGATTGGCTGTCAGCTTGAAGGAAACAAGAGAGGAGGACGGTATCGGCTGTCAGCCTGGCCAACCAACCCACCGCCACCCACCGCAGGAAAACAAAGGAGTTTCCTCACTTAAGTCCTCTCCCCTGTGAAGTCTTTTTGTCTGCTATTTAGCTCGGGCATTATAAACTGAGGGGGTGTCGGAGACACGGCATTTTCCAGACGGTAACCAATACCCAGGAGGTTTGGGCTGACTGAGTGGGGACTCAGGCGTGTCAGCCACCATGGTTCTGAGTTCAGAAGACCAGATGGGGATAAAGCGTGTCCTTCTTTCCAAAAACGAAAACTGAAGGGGGTTCTACAGGGAAGCTGGCATCTGTGCATCGGATTATAGTAGAAAAAGCTTGGGGCTGAGTCTCAGATATGCTACTTACTAGAGGTCTGTGAACTTGAGCAAGTTAGGCCACCTCTCTGCACCTCAGTTTACCTAGCTCTGTAAGTGCCACGAAGACAGTAACAACTCCCCGCAAGGCTGTTGAGTAGATTAAACGAGATGATACATGTGAAGGGAAATATGTAAACTATACACACACATTAATATATACGAGTTCCTCTTATTGTCATTATTAAATGGTGGGAGTGTCGCAATGTGGACTTTTGGACTTGGTTGGAAAAGAAATAGTTACCCAGGAAACGAAATTCATGTAGTAGGAAATAACAGGAATCCTGGCACATGGGGAGCAAGATCTCAGAGAGCAGGAAGGCAAGTCATGTGCCCAAGGAATGGCAATGACCATTTGGGACCAGTTTCTAGTCACAAACTTGTGTTTTATAATCGTAACTCCTCTTGCTTTTTGTGACTTCTGTAATAATTTCCCTTTAGTTCCCATTAATATTTAGTAAAGGTTTTTGTTTTTGTTTTTAATACCAGTGCTTTCAGCCAAGCTGAGCTGAGCTAAACTAAGGGAATGATAACACCTAAAGCCCACTGTTCGTTGAACACGTGCTCTGAGCCAAATGCTGTGCTGGATGCTTTACATAATTATGGTTTGTTATGATCTGATGACCCAGCAAAGCACTTATTATCTCCAAACACTTCCTTGAATCGGGGTTGGAAAGGAAGAGCAGAACTCTCCTGGGATTAAAATAAGGAAGCCTTAAGATGAATATAAAATCAAGAAGAAAAGAATTGAAGTCACACATAGAATCAGCCCTCCCCACCTAGAGACTCTTCTTGAACTATTCTCTACTAAACCTTGTAGGTTTCTCTGCTGTATTTTGAGAGAGGCTCATGTGGTGTAGAAACAGTATTCTACTCCAGTATTAGAATTTCATTTCTTTGGTGGCACCTCGCCTGGGTGGTGCAGTTGGTTGAGTGTCTGACTGTTGGTTTCGGCTTGGGTCGTGGTCTTGGAGTCATGGGATCAAGCCCCACATCGGGCTCTGCGCTTAGTGCAGAGTCTGCTTGGGATTCTCTCTCCCTCTCCCTCTGCCCCTCCTGCGCTCCCCCTCTCTAAAGTGACTGAATAAATCTTTAAAAAATAACAGCATATTTGAAAAAAAAAAGAATTTCATTTCTTTAAACATTGTCCTATTCCCATTATTTTTTTAAAATAGGCACATTCCTAGAAAAGTTGCCCCACAAATGATCCATTCCTAGTGTAAACAAGTCAAAGTCACGAAAGACAAAGCAGAGATGAGGGACGATTCCAGATCAAGGGAAACTAGAAAACTAAAGGCCATATGTGATTCTGGATTGGATCCCCAGTCAGAAACAGTGAATGATTATAAAGGGAATTACTGGAACAGTTGGGAAAATTTTGAATATAAAATACTCAGCAGTAGTGTTGTATCCATGTCAAAGTTCCAGAATTTGATAATTGTATTATGGTTATGTAAGGGTCCGTCCCTACTAACAGAAGTCACAGGCTGAGGGCGCCTGGGTGGCTCAGTTGGTTAAGCGACTGCCTTCGGCTCAGGTCATGATCCTGGAGTCCCGGGATCGAGTCCCGCATCGGGCTCCCTGCTCGGCAGGGAGCCTGCTTCTCCCTCTGACCCTCCCCCCTCTCATGCCCCCTCTCATGTGCTCTCTGTCTCAAATAAATAAATAAAATCTTTAAAAAAAAAAAAAAGAAGTCACAGGCTGATGTATTTATGGGTGACATTATTTAGGTCATGATACCTGCAACTTACTTTCAAATGGTTAACAAAACATAATAATTTAAAAATTTTTAATAATAATAGTATGTATATACAGAGAGAAAGAGAAAAAGCAAATACGGCAAATAATTAAAAATTGATGAGTCTGGGTGAAGTGTATACGGACATTCATTGTACTAGTCTTGAAACTCATCTGTGCCTTTGAAATGTTTCAAAATGAAGAGCGGAGGGAAATACATGTGCATTAGAACCTTCTTCTCGTCTTGCTGAGATCTAGGACTATCCTTCAGCCTCCTGAACCCCACGTGCCCTAACCCACTTGCTTCCTTTATAGATGTATTTCTAAAACCCTAGATCACCAAGTTAATCTGTATATACATTTTCTAGGGTTTTTTTTTTTTTTTTTGTAAGACTGATAGAAGTTACTGTGTTGTTCTCACTCTATACCTGGGTAGACTTTTAAAAAAAATTTTTTTGGCTTATTAACTTCTGAGTGAAAGACTTATATCCTTCGGGAACCATTTTCTCTTACCCTGGCTGCTGGCAAAATAAGGTTTTCATTGTTCTGTGATAACAGCGCTTACTGAATGTGTTTCTTCTCTCGGGCCAGTATTTGCTCATGCTGTGTTTTCTTCCTGCCTGTTCCCCAGAGATAAGGGGCAACCCCCACCTGCTGATCAAGTACCACAGTGGGTTCTTCGTGGATGGAAAGTTCCTGTGCTGCCAGCAGAGCTGCAAAGCGGCCCCAGGATGTACCCTCTGGGAAGCATGTAAGGTGACCCCCCCCCCACTGGGCTGGGCCCTGGGAGGACGGTGCCCCATGAGGCAAACCTGCCAAATTCCAGAACAGTTCACCAGCTTGGGAAAACAAGATGTGCCACTTCGGTTGACATCATGAAAACTCAGCCTCAAAAAATGCTATCGGGCAGATGAAGTCCAATTATAGGGTCAACTGAGTCATAAAATAATAACAATATTAACATTTGCCGTTCTTTCATTTCGTGAGAAATGTTTTTTTAAATTGGAATCATGAATCGAGCAAGGCGCTGTCTATTTCCTCCCATAATTCTCCCTGGTTTAAGATAAACTCCAAATGGGTAGAATGTGGAGAACATATCACCATGGCTCATAACCTAAAATAATAAACTAAAAAAAAAAAAAATTCTTTTAAAAAATATGTCAAAGGTTTTGGTTTTAGAGGGAGGGGGGAGGGGGATGGGTTAGCCCGGTGATGGGTATTAAGGAGGGCACATACTGCATGGAGCACTGGGTGTTATACGAAAACAATGGATCGTGGATCACCACATCAAAAACCAATGATGTATTGTATGGTGACCAACATAACATAATAAAATTTTAAAAAATATGTCAAAGGATAATATTTAAGTAACACTTGGAATCACCATATATACCACAGTGATGGATGACCAAGTTTTAAAAGCCCATATTTAAAGGGCTTACCATTCTGTACATGTTTACTGATTTCTTAATAACACCACAGAAGGTAGTGAAGGGTCTGCTTTAAGCGCAATCAGATTCTACCCAGAGTTATATTCCTAAGAAAATCTGGCTGAGACTTTATCTGGGGACAGAGAAGAAGGTCCACTGAGTGGCTTTGAAGGGGCAAGGGAGGAAAAGAATTAGGTTGTTTTCTGTTTGTGCCCCTATAGGGTCTCATCCTATCTTCAGGATATTTACATGGGGCAGTCTTTTTTTCCTTTTTGAAGATTTTTTAAAAATATTTTATTTATTTATTTGAGAGAGAGAGAGCATCCGTGAGTGAGCGGGGAGGAGCCCGAGGCGGGGCTTGATTCCACAATCCTGAGATCCTGAGATCCCGACCTGAGCCAAAATCAATAGTCCGAAACTTAACTGACTGAGCCACCCAGGCACCCCATGAGGCAGTCTTATATATTTTAGGAGTTTGTCACCGTTTAACAACAGTAAGTTGTGAATAAATTAAAAAGGAGAACTTATTCTGATGACAGTTTTACCAGCCTGAACAAAATATGCTTGGATTACAACTTTAATGAATTGAGTAAGATCAGCGGTGACTTTATGAACTGTAAAACCCACAGGGACATGAGGTATTATTCAAATTCACTCCATTATAGTATTGACACCCGACGCTCACATTAATGGTATTACTAGTAATTTGACAACAAAAATCAATGAATAAATGTTCATTGTGTTTTCTATCTTAATTAGACTACACAGTGAATATTTATTCATCCTAAGTATATCACATTGCCCTTTATACTTGGGAATTATCGTGATTTAATGAACTATACAGAAACTAGTGTATATGGATCCTCCCTCCACTGTAAGGGGCTGAGGAATAATGTTTCCTTAGAACCTTATTTCTTTCCCCCAATTATTCTGTCCACGATCTGGCATCATTACCCAGCAGGCCAGATTCTAGCTCTGACCCTACCTCCCTGGGAAGAAGCAGGAAAAAAGGCCAGAGAGAGCACTCCCTTGGGATTATCTTCCTAGGCTCGGTCTGGATGGCATCTGCCGTATGTTCTGGGTACAACAGGCTCTTTTCCAGCCTCTGAGGAAAACGACAGAATTTGGAGGAGCCGTGGCCCATGAGCAGCTATGATATCACTTATCTAGTCAAGTATAACTTACTCCTCTGCTGGGTTACAGGGCTGCCCAAGGGTACAGTTACTAGGAAGGAAATAGTTGAGAGACTTGCTTCCTTCTGTCTCCAAAATGCCCCGGACCATTCCTTTTCCAGGGTACGTGGCCTACAAGTGAGTTTGCCATACACCCCAGTTTGTTTGGAGCAGTCTCATTCTGCAGCTGGTGACCTGGCACAATTATTAAAAGCTTACCTATCCCTGTAAGAAACGTTCCAGGCTGGTTAGTAAATTGTATGGCCGCTCTGCTTAGAAGGCACATAACGGCTTTACACCCATAGCCTGGGCATCTATCTACATGTGGAAGTGGAAAGAGAAACCAACAATTATCACCAGAAATGGAAAAAAGTATGGGATAGTTTTTGTTCACTTATAAATCAGCTACTTGGGGATGCCTGGGTGGCTCAGTCGGTTAAGCGTCTGCCTTCAGCTCAGGTCATGATCCCGGAGTCCTAGGATCGAGCCCCGTTTTGGGCTCTCTGCTCAGCAAGGAGTCTGCTTCTCCCTCTGACCGCCCCCCCCCACTTCTTGTGTTGTGACTCTCTCTCAAATAAATAAATAAAATCTAAAAAAAAATCAACTACTTATAAGCATCTCATATGAGCCAATCAAAGAGGAATCAGACATGGATTCTGAACCCTAGTGTCAAAGGTACTACCCACCGAGATTAGATATCTGTATTTCAAATACAAGGTGGAAATGCAGTATAAATTAATAGTTCACAGGATTTAGAGGAACTCGAATTTTTTTATCCATTTGGGGGAGGATATTGCTAATCAAAAGTGGAGGAGTGGTGTTTTAGTTGAGCGTTACACAGGAAAACAACAAAATCACTCCAGATGCTGCGTCTAAACTCACGTCATCTGAAGCATTGATCCCATAAGCTAGTTAATCTTTTGATTCTTAACATTGGGTGTTTGCTTTGTTTTGTTTAAAGTCCCTGCTGATATTACCTGGTTTTTCTTTTCAGATGCTGATCTGCACATTACAACCCATGAAGAGAAACACAGGGTTCCCATCTTCCCAGACAGAGTGGTAAGTCGATATTTAAAATTTTTTGCATAGCCAGGATATATTAAAATAAACCAAGAGTTGCCAGATTCAAGACTAGAAAATATGGGCTGCATTCAGACTGCTGAGCAAAAAGAGGACAAAGGTGAGCTGTCACCCATAGCAGCGGCAGTATCGAAGGCCAAGGTCAAATATTGAACCATTTTACCATTTTATATTGTTATACTTAATAACTGGGCCTTTTCTGACCTGTAAGCACATAAATAGTCGCCAAGAAATGGGTGCATGTGGGAGATGTCCTTACGATGGCCTCACACATGAGTTATTAGCTGTCATTCCTCCCCCAGCAGCAGCCTGGCCAAGACTGCCTCATGTGAGTATCCTGGCGAAGGATGGGACTCCATAGGGCACAAGCAGAAAATAACCTAATTCCTTCTCTCTGTTATCCCTTCAAAGCCACTTGATGGGCTTTCTTCTCTGTCCCTGAATGGAATGGAATTCCAGCTGCTTGCCAATGAAACAGAATGTCCCAATTACTAGTAGTCATGAGAAGAACCTCTCAGTTGTCCCATCCAATGCTATAATCATACAACTCCAAACATCATTCCAAGTTACAACTTCTCCCCTTCACATAGCTCAGGTGTGCATCAGCGGGCAGCCTGCTTTGGGGAGAGGGCCACGGAGAAGCTGAGATTTCTGACTCTGTCATGGTTGGGGCCCAGGAAGAGGGGGTCTAATAAAAAGCAGTCATTTGTGGCTGATCCCATCATGATTTTGGTAGGGATGGCTCCTGGGTGAGACAGTTTCCTAATGCTGATTCTTTAGCTTATGGGAAACTTCCGTGGGTTCACCACGAGCATGCAGAGCCAAATGTAGTTTTATGACAGAGCGGTAGTTCTTGACCCTTAGCTCTTGAGTTTCTTTTTTTTTTAAGATTTTATTTATTTATTTGACAGAGAGAGACACAGCGAGAGAGGGAACACAAGCAGGGGGAGTGGGAGAGGGAGAAGCAGGCTTCCCGCTGAGCAGGGAGCCCGATGTGGGGCTCGATCCCAGGACCCCGGGATCATGACCTGAGCCGAAGGCAGTCGCTTAACCAACTGAGCCACCCAGGCGCCCAGCTCTTGAGTTTCTAGTCCTCATATTTCTGCTGGGTCGATTCACCCATCTTGGACAGAGTTTCTTTCAAGGTGGCTCCCAGAACCCTCTCCCAAGGGTGGAGTTGGCCTACAGTACGACAAACAAAACCTTGACTGCTCTGCTCTGTGAGAGTCACAGATGCTCTAGAAGCTCTCCTAAAAGTAAAGGAGTGTCTCTACCCATCCATTAGCTCTATGGTGTCTTGGGCACTTATTTTCAGCTGCACACTATCACACACACCTCTCTCTAAGTAAAAAAATATAATCTTTATGAACCACCATGAAGGACAAAAGGAAATCCATTATTGGAGTAGGTTAAATTGTCTCCCAAATTTCATGTTCACCTAGAACCTCAAAATGTGACCTTATCTGGAAACAGGTCTTTACAGATGTAATTAATTAAGGACTGAGGTGAGATCATACTGGATTAGAATGTGTCTTTATAAGAAGAGGAGAGGACAGGGCGCCTGGGTGGCTCAGTTGGTTAAGCAACTGCCTTCGGCTCAGGTCATGACCCTGGAGTCCCGGGATCGAGTCCCATATCGGGCTCCTTGCTCAGCAGGGGGTCTGCTTCTCCCTCTGATCCTCCCCCCTCTCATGCTCTCTCTCTGTCTCATTCTCTCTCTCAAATAAATAAATCTTTAAAAAAAAAAAAAAAAAGAAGAGGAGAGGACACAGGGAGATACACAGTGAAGAAGGCCATTTAGAGACCTGGGCAAACCAAAAACCAAATAATCCAGTTTAAAAAAGGGCAGAAGACATGAATAGACACTTTTCAAAGAAGACATCTAGATGGCTAACAGACACATGAAAAGATGCTCAACATCACTCATCATCAGGGCAATGCAAATCAAAACCACAATGAGATACCACCTCACACCTGTCAGAATGGCTAAATTTAACAACACAAGAAACAATTGGCGAGGATGCGGAGAAAGGGGAACCCTCCTACACTGGTGGTGGGAATGCAAACTGGTGCAGCCGTTCTGGAGAACAGTATGGAGGTTCCTTAGAAAGTTGAAAACAGAACTACCCTATGACCGAGCAATTGCACTAGTGGGTATTTACCCAAAGGATGTAAAAATACAGATTCGAAGGGGCACATGCACCCCGATGTTTATAGCAGCATTCTCAACACTAGCCAGACTATGGAGAGAGCTGAAATGTCCCTTGCTGATGAATGCATAAAGAAGATGTGGTATATCTGTACAATGGAATGTTGCTCAGCCAACAAAAAGAATTAAATCTTGCCATTTGCGGTGACGTGGATGGAGCTAGAGAGTATAACACTAAGCGAAATAAGTCGGAGAAAGACAAATACCATATGATCTCACTCATGTGGAATTTAAGAAAGAAAACAGATGAACATATGGCAAGGATGGGGGAAAGGGAGAGAGGGAAACAAACCGTAAGAGACTCTTAACGATAGAGAACAAACTGAGGGTTAATGGAGGGAGGTGGGTGGGGAATGGGCTAAGTGGGTGGTGGGTACTAAGGAGAACACTTGCTGTGAGGAGCACTGGGTGTTGTATGTAAGTGATGAATCACTGAATTCTACTCCAGAAACCAATATCGCACTGTATGTTAACTACCTAGAATTTAAATTAAATAAATAAATAAATAAACAAACACCTAGGCAGGAGATTCGAGTTATGCTACCACAAGTCAAAGAATGCTAGAACCACCAGAAGTTGGAAGAAGCAATCGAATATTCTTCCATAGAGCTTTTAAAGGGAGCACGGCCATAGAGAAGCCTTGATTTTGAACTTGAGGCCTCCAGAAACGCAAGAGAACAAATCTCTGTTGTTTCAATCCACCAAGCGTGTACTGATTTGTCATGGCAGTCCAAGGAAACTAATACAATTATTAAGGTTGGAGGGCTTTATTTTGTTCTCAGCAACATTGCTATTTTAGTTTGGGTACATGCTCCAGTCCTGAAGCTTGAAAATTATGGCTTTATTAAACACCTAAGAGCCATGTCCAGAATAAGCAAATCTACAAGGACAAAGGGTTGATTAGCAGGTTGCCCGGGGCCAGGATGGGAACGGGTGACCGCTAACGGTCACAGGCGCCTTATGGGAGTGACAGCAATGTGCTCAGACCGGACTGTGGTGATGGTTGCCCAACTTGATAAATTTACCAAAAGTCACCAAATTCTATACCTTCTATATGGTATGCAAATTATAATCCAGTAAAATTTGTTTTAAACAAATCTAAGAGCAGAGGATAATTTAGGAGCCAGAAACCATTGCATCTAATCTCTGGCAAGGAATTCTTGGGGAAATGTGCTGAAAATTATCAGTCAGGCAGATCATTGGCCAAGGGTTTCTAAGTCTGTTTTGATTGTAAGCTACCCGAAGGGATCAGGGATCAGCGAGAGTATCATGAAAAACATGTTTCCCTTTGTTTTGTTTTTACCAGAACATTCAGTAGAGGACTTACTTTGCAGAGCTGAGGAAATTAAAAATCCACTTTCTAGCCCTTCTGTTCAGACTTCCGTGTAGGGAACTTTCCACAGCATTTATCTCTGGACAGAACCACCGCATAGCTCATAAACAGCAGTGTCCTGCAGAGCGAAAATTTCCAGGACGTCATCGATCCCTGCAAAAAAGTAAAAATATGAGTATGAAAAATTAAATGCAGAGCTTATATCTTTTTATGTGAATTTTCAATTGAAGCATAACATGCATTTGGACAAGTATACGAGCCCGAAGTGTTCAGCTTGATGAATTTTCACAAACAGAACACACCTGTATAACTCTCACTCAAATCAAGGAACAGAACATCACAGAACCCCAGGGGTACCATCATGTTCCTTTTTGGTCACTACATCCCACTGAGAGTAATCACTAGCCTGACTTATAACATCATAGCTCACTTGCTTGGTTTTGACCTTTATGTAAATGGAATCATAAAGTATATCGTCACATATTATCTGTCTTCCTCTGAGACTGACCCACACTTTAGTGTGTGGTTGTCATTTCCTCTCACTGCTGTATAGGATTCCACTGTGTGAATATACCCTTATATTCATTTTATTGCTGCTGTAACAAATTACCACAAATTGAGTGACTTGAAGCAACACACATTTATTCTCTTGAAGTTCTGAAGGTCAGAAGTCTAAAATAAAATGGGTCCACACGGCGATATTCCTTCTGGAAGCTTTAGGGGGGGGGAATCTATCTCCTTGCCTTTTCCAACTTCTAGAGGCAACCTACATTCTTCGGTTTCTGGCCCCCTCCTCCATCTCCGGGGCCAGAAGGGTAATGCCTTATGTTTAGTATCAAATAGGTTTATTATTTTACTCTTTAAATGGGCATTTAGGTCATTTCCAGTTCTTATCGAATTGAAATAATTCTGCTACGAACATTCTTATATGTGTCTTTTGATTTCACTGCTGGGTGCACATACAGACTTTCTGGATCATAGGGTATGTGCGCGCCTGACTTGAGTAGATTCTGCAAACAGCTCTTCAATGTGGTTATATACTCTGAACTCCAACCAGCCAAGTATGAGAGTTCCAGTTGCTCCAGACCTTTGCCAATACTTAGTACTGCCCTTGTTGCCCTTCTCTTTCTTTCCTTTCCTTTCCTCTTTCTTTCTTTCTTTCCTTCTTTCTTTTTCTCCTTCCTTCCTTCCCTCCTTCCTCCCTCCCTCCTTCCTTCTTTCTTTCCTAAGAGCTGATGTACTTAGCTTGTTAGCTCCCACTACCTGAATCTGTGCCTCACTGTGATATATTAAAATCTCTTGTCCTCCAAAGCTGAAGATTCCTCGAGCAGTTCCTATTTTCAGAATGAATGAACCATCCTCAAGTACCACCGTGGCCCAGTATGACAGTGACTCAAAGAGAAACTACGGCTCCCAGCTAACTGTCAACATGCAGCATATTCCAAGAGAAGATTGCCCTGACTGGTGGCAAGTAAGGAAACTGAAGAGGTAAACTTCAGCTTTTAGTTGGGCTGCCCAGCACGTAGGGTAGCCATCAGCCCCCTGCCTTGGACGTCAGCCTCAAAGCTGTCCACGCAGGCCCTAGCTGAGAAGGGCTGCCCTCTCCGGAAAGGCTCAGTGCTTGAGCCAGAAGCCTGGGCGAGCAGTGGCCCACTGGGACCGAATGGCATGGACTTCCCATCTAGATGATCTGATCTATGATCTAAGTAATACTTGTGCATTTTATTTCTTCCCCTTCCTCTCCCCCTTTTCCCCAAATAACCCTACGTGCCAGAACTTGGAAGCTTGAAAATATATCCTTTACATGTTTCGGGTGGGCTTCCTTTTGTCCTGTGCTTACAAATGCCAAATAACACTCCCAGCGAGGCCTCGGCTGCCTTCTCAGGATGGACACCTTCAGCTCTCCTGATGTGATCAGTCTTCACACGTTTTTTAAGCGAAAATGAAAACTACCTGGAAGGCAGTACCTAAATTGTGTATCTCTCCAGGGTCTCTGGGACCGAGCCGGCCCCATACTTGATGCTCACTAAAGATTGAACTGAATCACAAGATGACAATAGAAAAAGGGTCAAGTGACTGTCCTTCCCTCTTTGGTGCCTCAGCCCTCCTCCCCATCACATTCTTCACTGTCTGATGTCTCCTCACCCAGTCATTAGCCTCCCTGCAGGGCACCGGGGTCTGTCTTTCCCCACAATGGATGCAGAACATCTCTCTGACTCCTCAGGCATCTCCTTTCTTTGTTTTCTCCCTCGTGCTCTTATTTTTTTATTCTTTCCATCCTCATCATTTTTACCTAAAGCAAATGCCTCCCTCTACCAATGACACAACCACAGGGCCACACGGAACTTGAAAGAACGTGAGTGTATTCTTGTTGTTGCTTCTGGCATATAACAAACTGTGGTGCTTTTCATTTCAAAGTGGAGCTAGAGGCCAAGTGTATTCATCTGTACCTGGCCCCTCAGGGGACATGTCACATTTATTTGCTGCAACCCAGGGTTCTTGTGGAAGGAGACCATCGATAGACGCAGGTCCTAGGAGAGCGAGTGTCATGTCAGCTTTGTGCCGGGGCCCGCTCTCTACCGGAAGCCCCAGGGATTCATTGAGGGAAACGTGCAGTGAAACTGATCAGTATTCAAATAAGTAGTCAGCACTATTAATTCATGGTGGGGGGGGGGAGTACAACCACCAATGCCTGAATGGCTAGATCCTATCTGGTTTTTTTTAAGATTTTATTTATTTATTTGAGAGAGAGAAACACAGCGAGAGAGGGAACACAAGCAAGGGGAGTGGGGGAGGGAGAAGCAGGCTTCCCGCTGAGCAGGGAGCCCGATGCGGGCTCGATCCTAGGACCCTGGGATCATGACCTGAGCTGAAGGCAGTCGCCCAACTGACTGAGCCACCCAGGCGCCCCATAAATCCTATATTTATTGAAAATACTGACTTTTTTTCATCTTGGATTTTTTGCATTAATTTTTATTTTAAAAATATCATTAACACGTTATTTACCTTGACTACTGAGTTTTTCTGACACCCCCTTAGATTTTGCACCCAAGATTCAGTCCTGACCTTGGATTCTTCCCTAGAACTCGAGAAAGCTAGTTATCTGAACAAAGAACCGATGGATCACTTCTTAGCCTGAGTAGCATTACATCAGTGAGTGAATGATGATGATTGCTAAAAGATCTTTGTGGACTGATTTTTAAAAATGCAGTCATGAGTCTCAGCTCACATAAGGAGATAATACTTTTTATCAACTATCCTTACTTGAGCTGCTTTTTAATTTTTTCTGAGTAGTAAAATAACAGCATGCTTCCATTAAAGCATTCAAGTATTGCAGAATATCCAGGGTACATTCTTCTAGAACTATGCACACGTTATTTTCTATGCACACATTACCACGTGTAGAGAATTAAAAAATCAGATTCTCACCACGTACTCTTCTGTGCCACTCTCTGTCTTCACTTCACATCTTGGACATTTTTTCCCATTTAAGTACATGAGGCTACACTTCAGTTTTAATGTGGAAAAAATATTGAATGGTGGTAAAACATAGCATACGTTTTGCCATCTTAGTAATTTTTAAGCATACAGTTGAGAGGTGTTAGGGACATTTACAATGTTGTGCAAGCTACATGATTATTCTGAATGTCTAGATAGTGTTCCATCATATGGATAAACCTAAGAGATGCACCACTGATGGGCATTCCCTGTGTGTTCTTAAAAAAAACATAAAAGCTAAATAAATTGCTTAGCGTTTTAAAATAAGAATTTTCTTTTGAAGAGATGAAGTAAAAAAGCCATGCTAGTGAGCAAGGCTCTTCGGAAGGTAGCGCTGAGGGCTTTCTCCAGTCATTCCTTGAAATGGAGCCAGAGAAGCATTTCCTTGTTAAGGAAGCTTGTTGCTAAGAAGGGTGGTTTTGAAAAAGGGCCTGAGATAGGAAGGCGAGCAGGAAATAGGTCCTACATTCCAAGCAAAACAGCCTTTGGACTTGGAGGGGTAGGCACTTCCTCATGCTCTGCCTACCACCCAAAACGGAAGAGGGAAAATGACGGGTGGCAGGGGGTGATGAAGACCTTGAGGATCCCTTAACCCCACGTGGAGTTAAAAGTTCAGTATTTTCCAGACTTTTCATTGCAATTGCAACAGCCAAGAGGGAAATAACATGTTAAAATATATAAGTGACCGAATGCTTGCATAGCGACAAAAAAATCAGGAGTCAAGATGATCTCTTCATCCAACTTTTCTATTCACACTTCTCTTTTGTTTAGGAACACTGTCAAGCTGCCTCTGGTTATTGGGGTCCCTGCAAGGATGAAAATGTGAAAAGGACTCATTAGCTGAAATTCCCAAACCAAGTGAAATACGATGGTCAAAATGTTAAATGAAGCTAAAAGATACCTAACAAAACTATTTTTCTCCTTTAACATTTATAAATAAACATAAGTTTACAAAAATGTATCTTTTTGTCGCAGCAATGAAGATTTTGCAACCAGCAACCAAAGGGAAAGGACTGTTGCAAATCACAGCACCTCAAAGATGTCATGGTAAATCAAATGCAGATACTCCTTTACGTCTAGGATTTGCTTCCATTTGCAGGAAAACTAACCACATTTGCAATCATTTTGCATCTAGACTTCATGTTTAAGGTAAAAACGAACCAAAACAATTCACGTAGTTTGCCTCTCTGAACCCTTCAGTTGGTCTGAATCGATGACTTGTGGGTTACAGTTTTCCTCGCACTGATATTTCCTGTCCATCATTCAGGATATGCACTGGCTCTAGCAGGAGGAAGAACCACCTCAAGTCGAGTTACTCTTCTCTAAGAATTGCTCTATACACAGCCTGATTTTTTTTTTAACCTCCTACTACAGCTGCTCCCGAAGGTATTCATCTATTTCATGAGCCTGCTCTTCCAAAAGAGTCAAACAAATCCACGTTCCTGGGGGCCTCCTGTAGCAAAGAGCCATTTTCTCATTAAACTGGGCATGAACTCGACTTTTGAGTGATTCTCTCTTCACTTTGCCGATACCTTCCCAGGTGCAAAGAGGGAACCCTGACAGTCTAAATTTTATTTGTGGGGGTGAAAGCAGGGTGGGATTCGACCTTGCACTGCTAGGTAATTGCATTATTTCTTGGTGGTTTTTTGCATTCATGTCGTTTCCTCTCTTCTTAAGGGGATTCCCCGAGTCAAGTTCATCTGAAGAAGAGGAAAACCTGGATGACTATGAGTGAGTCTGAAAGTCTTCTGTGTTCCTCTAAAACTAACATAGATGTTTCTATTCCATTCTTCCCCAAAGGCATTAGAGCAGATGTCTCGGACTTGCTTGGGAGGCTGTATTTACTTGGGGAAACTCATATGAGGTGCTGGGCCATTTATCTGGATGACGGGTGATAATGAGCTGGGTTGTTACTAAGGGAAATATTTTTCCTCAGTCTGGATTATCTAAACTGGCTGTACATATTCATCGGATTTATCATATACCTGGTGCCCCCTTCACTTGACTTTGTCTTCATAGATGCAGCATATGACATTTCTGCCGAGTATTTCTGCCCTGGAGGTCTCTGGACAGGGTGACCTTTGAAGGCTCTTATTAGCACTTATTAGTCCCGTTTTTGAAGTTATTTATGATACAGCAACAAGGTAGCGCAACAGACTTGAACTTGACCGCATTTATGTTGGGAGAGTCCTATTTCTAGGGCAACCTTATCATTTAACATCCAGATTAGGATATTTTAGAAAGAGAAAGAGTGCGCTATTAAATATTACACCTGGACATCAGGCATGAATTGGACTCTTCTGGGTGAATAAAAATGTAGGATCACCCCAATTATACTGAGACAGGTTGGCCTAAGGGGCCCTTAAGGTCCTTTCCAAAATCTAAGACTGTATCCTTCTACAAATAGGGACAAATAAGTCTCCGGAACTTTATTTAAAGTTGGCATTAAGGAGAGGTGGGAGTGATAGGGCAGACTGCATCTCCCGGACACCTGCTCCCCAATGGTGGCCAACTCACTTGAACACTGAGATTATACATCTTTCCAGTTCTATTTTTCTATGAGTGTGGTCACTGATATATTGGCTCTAGGTACAGTGAGAGGTTTTATAAAGTACATGTCACGGTTTCGACTCTTTGTCTTACCTCTAAGCCAGCGTGGCCCTAGGCGTTCCCGCCACATCGGGGAAGACGTGCTGTAGGCCCCGCCCCTCCACAGCATGGCTTTTTCACCACCATCTAGCTCCCCGTGATCCCTATCTTCTTCCCCAGTATCCACCCTCAGGAAAGCCTCTGATAGAATAATTCAAACTAAGACATAAACGCTGAGAAACACCAGCACCAAAATTATCCAAAGATAATAGCACTTTGACGGATGACAAAGACTTAAACCCATGGCAATGAACCTCTAATTGTGGATGTTAATCTCGAGCATTTCAATGAATTGGAAGTCTCTCTTCGATTTGGAAAGCCCAGATCTGACCATGTGGACGATCTCTATCTCCATCATTTCTAAATTCAAATGGTGCCTGAGAGGTGTGCACTGGGGAAACACCAGGAGAGACCTGCCCTCTTCCAAGTCAAAGAGGTGCCGAAGGGCAATCGGGAGCAGAGGGCTACGTGATCCGGGGCTTAGCCTCTCGCACCACACTCGGTGCCCCCAGCTTCTACCTCTCTCAGTGGCACCGAAGCATTTGTTTGGTGGGGCAGAACTTCATGAAGATTTCTACTGTGTTCTATTGAAGGCTAAGGCACTGAAGTTTAGATGGAAAATCATACCTTAGGAGCAGGCTTAAGAATCTGGTCCTCTGGCAATGACATGCTGAAATCTTTTTTAAAACAAACAGAGCCAGATCTCAAGTAAAGTGTGTGTGTGTGTGTGTGTGTGTGTGTGTGTGTTGGGGGGAGGGGTTTATTCACAATCCCACCTTGCTTCTCCATGCCTCTGTCCTTATTCCCAATCATCTCTTTCTTCTCTCTCCCATAGGCATGTATTCTGGTTCGTATTCCCTGAGGAGTCTTTTGATTAGCTGTGATTAGCTTAAAATATTAACTCAGAAGAAAATGATCAGTTCATACCTCAAGTATTAATTATATCATATCTATAAGGGTAGAACTAGAAGAGACTTTTAAACTTACATTCAACCCTCATCCTCATTTTGCAGATGGGTAATTCCAAGGTCAAAAAAGGCCAAGTGGTTTGTCCAGAGCCATACAGCTACTCACTAGGAAGTTAGGTCTAGAATTCAGACCTCCAAGCTGGCTGGTGGCTCTTTCCACTCCACTGGCCTGCCCCCCAGCTGACACGCCCCCCGTCCCACCTAATACATCCTCGCCCTCGGGTTCTTTTTTCCTCTTTGGGTGTTATCCTCTAGCCAGAGGGTCCTCGTAAGCCCCCAAACCCATGCTCCATCCCACCTCACACCCTGTTCATTTCCCTAGTATGACATTCTAGCCAAAGCCAAAAGACTGCAGACACTGTTGATCTCACGTGAGAAACAACTCTGGAGCCTGTTGAGCTCTACACAGAAAGTAAGATGTGATGCTCTTGGCTCACTTAGAGAAAAAGGTAATATTTAAAGATCATGCCTGGCTGCCCCACATCATCTCTTTCTCAGGTTGCCGTACCTGTTACTGGCTTACTATAGCCATAGAGGCTTATCTACTGCTATCCTGCAAATAAAAAAATATTCATTAGAAAAGCATTTGCTTTGAAAATAGATGCTATAAGGTGTGCTTCTATCAGATTATTAAAAGAAAAATATAGGGTTGAAAGACAGGCAACCCCAACTTTCCCATTGGAATATTCTTTCATTCGTCTCATCTCCGGCTCTCGCTTGAAACAGTGACACATAGAACTCACGGGCCTGCCCGAAAGAGGCCAAAGGTTTTTAAGTGCTAGCCCGCGGGAAAACAGAATCATACGGAGGTGGTGCAGACTCGCGAATCCGTAGTTTTGAAAAGCCCCTGGGGGAATTCTCTAGAGCAGTCGGGTTGGGAAATCCCTGATCGAAGCTGATGCCTCATTGTACGGGGTAGAAAGTGGAGTGATCAGGCACGCGGTTACAAATTATTAACTCGCAAATATGCGATTCTTTCTCCTTGTAGCTGGTTTGCAGGTAACATCTCCAGGGCCCAATCGGAGCAGTTACTGAGACAAAAGGTAAATTATCTAGTCTTTAAAGTAGCCTTTAAGGATCTTTCTCGTTGGGCCCAGAGGGCAATGCCCTTACTTCTCATAGAAACCGGATGGCTAATTATACAGGCAAGTGGTCATAGAGGCTGCAGTCCAGCCCCTGGGTTACCGGGCCCTTCGCATGTAGCCACTTCCTCGGTTTTTCATTATCTCCTGCTGGGTAATAAACCACTTCCAAATTTGGCAGTTTGAAACAAGATTTAGGAGTTCTCGCCATTCTGTCCACAGGGTGCCATGGGTCTGCTCTGTGTGGCTGACGTGGGCTTCCTCACAGCCCAGCGATCCCAAGGCTTTTGTCAGGCCTGCTGATGCCCTATTAGCCAAAGCAAGTCTGCTGGCCTAGCCCGGACTCAGTGTGGGAGGGGACTGCCCAGGGCAAGAATACAGAGACATGATTGACTGGGGGCCATCTATGTAACAGCCTAGCTCAACTCTGTCCCTGCCCAGGAGCACCTAAACCGGAGGACGGCAGGTGTAATAGGGAATACCTCTACCTGATTTTGTTACAAAATTGGCACGGAATTAACAGACGCAAACTCTTTCCACCTGCCAAACTGATGCTGTGATACAGTTCGACCTAGTAAAACACACCAGGGATTCCTTTGAGGGGTACTAGTGAGAACGTGATGACGTCACCACCTAACCCGGTATCTCGTCAATGTTGTCACATTCATAGCTTATTGTCTGCTCTTTCTGAATCTGGATCTGCTTGGAATTAGCACAAGCCATAAAGAAAGACAAGTTGAGCATGAAACTTTAACAAATGATTTGTTCTGCGTCTTTGGCTTTCTAATACCTTCCGAGGTATTCTATTCCATGGTGATAGGTGGTTTTCAGTGTTATTTCTGAAAGGTTAAAATATCAGGTTTCCACAAACACAAAACAGAGAACATTATCAGAGAGGGTTAAAAACTAAGTGGAGACGGAGAGTCAAAGCACAGGGTAGGTCTCTCAAGGAACTGAGAGAGAAAAGGAGGAAAGCTGAACCGTGGGTCCCCTTCTGTGCCAGTTGTTGGGTGATCTGGGCCGTCAATGACATTTAAAGTCGATCGAAAAGATCCATTTCCCTACCACCTACCAGGAAAAATAGTTTTCAAGAATAATGAAAATGTTTTCCATTCCTTCCACTCTTTCCTTCCTTTCCAGGGAAAAGAAGGTGCATTTATGGTTAGAAATTCCCGCCAGGTGGGAATGTACACAGTGTCCTTATTTAGCAAGGCTATGAAGTAAGTATGACATGGATTTCTCTCTTTTATCTTGTGTGTATGTTCTTTGAATACGTTGGCCATTTAGTCACATTTGGGGATAAGACACCATCTTTAAACTCCGGCGTTTTGGCTCAAAGGATTTCTATCGAATGCAACCTTGCCCACCCAGCCCCGACTCTGAGCGCTCGTTCTCTGGGGGAGCCTCTTTTGCCCATCCCAGGCGACAGCGAAGTGCCCAGCGCACAGCACGCCTCAGTAAACACTTGTTAAGGGAATCTGGGGTTGTTCCCCTTGACTTGGTCCGAAGCCTAGAAAGAGAGAAAAAGCGCAATGGAGTCTGTCCACTCTTGGCCCGAGCCACCTGGTGAGTTGAGGAACCTTCCCTAGTGTCTGGTTTTTAGTCAGTCTCTCCATTAGGGGCAGGGCTAGCAGAAAGTTGAATCAGTGTATCTGTGTTCCCCAGATAGCTCCTTTCCGGGGTGCTGTCCTCTTTGTGTGGTGAAGCTGCACCTCGGGGTCCAACTCCCGACTCCACCATTTCAAGGCTTTCGGACCCTGAGCAAGTTTCTTAATCTCTGTGCCTCGGCTTCCCCATTTGAAAAGACAAAATAACAATGACTATTATGTTCTATGGATGAAGTGAGTTAATTCACGTGGTGGATCACAACAGTGCCCGACACAGAGTAAGCGCTTAATACATGAATAGCGATTACTACGATAGTTGTTGTTATTGTGAAGGAGCGAATCTAGGCGCTCCACTCCCCTGCCCCAACACCCAGGCTCATACGACACCCCCAGTCACCACCTGCAAGTCATCGTCACCGACACCGACATCAGGATCCTCTGCCAGAGTTTTACAAGCCACTGTCCCATTGGCTGTTAGCTCTTTTGTTCCTTCTAATCATTCTGTGAAGCAAACAGGAAAGCTGCTTTCACTGGCACCATTTTACAGATGAGAGGTTTGGGGGTTCCACAAGCGCTCACGAAGACCCACCCACCACGTTAATAAGTGACCGACTTGAAGTTGGGCCTTCCACAGCGGAGTTCGTGTTCCTTCAACCGCACTCCTGCATCTACGTCGAGACCCCCAGGGTTCTGAGATAACAATCTGGCCAAATCTTGACTAGCACTTTGCTGCTGCCCCCATGTATACCCTGCCCTTGGCACCTATAGGCTTTTTGGTAATAACGAGTGATTAAAAGGTTATTTCAGTTTGAGAAATGTTTTTATGGAGTATCTACCTCCAGTTTGAGAGACTAGGATGTGCCCTAAGCAGTGACCCGGCATTTTCCAATGCAGGAAGCCACCTCCCCGGTGCATCTCATGGACCAGGTTGCACACCTAGATGCTGGCTAAAGCCAACCCAGTAAGAACCAGGTGAAAAGATTTGCTTCACTGAATATTAAGAGCTCTGTGACCCTCTGGCCCTGCAGTTTCAGCCAAAGCTGATAGCAGAAGTCTTCCTAGCCAAGATCCTTGACAGCAGGTTTATTTTTGAAGGCGGCCAGGTAGAAAAAAACAGCAAATAGATAAGGAGTCAAGTGAAAATAATCCACATTCATGACTACGGAAGCCTTCTTTTATGAAACATCATCAACAGGCTTGAATGAATTTCATACTAAGACCAAGAGCAAAGTAGCCATTTGCAACAAGAAGACACCCCTTTCCCTTTTTATAGTTGCAATTTTGACTAGGCTGGTATTACAGCGACGACAACTTATCAATAGTTTCTTATGCGCCAAGCATAGTGCGAATTGCTAGATATAAAAGCGCATCCGATCTCTGTAACAACCAAATGAGGTTAGCTAGCAAGCAGAAGACGAGGACGCAAAGCCCGGTTCTTGACTGCTAGGCCATACCCTAAAATCGGACACAGGCATATTATTTCTGATTAGCCCAAATCGATGTGCATCAATTCACCACTATCTTCCAAAAGGAGAGCAACGGGAAAAATATGTTTTATGTGGAAAAGGTACAAGTTCATGTGAGGAATTAAAGGACATCCCCACCCATTTCATCTTGCATGCTCCACTCCCCAAAGAGCCTCCCACCCCTGCTCTGGGTGAAACACCCACAGCCTAATCACCTTTGTCTCCCACATTTTAATATTCATTATTATCCTAAAAGAGAATTGGTGTTCAGAATAATGATCTTGAAGAACTGCACAGCTCTCAATCATCAAAGGAAGATTCTAGTTTTAGACTGGCTAAGGGAGGAACAGTGCAGAAAGTTGGAATTTTATTGTACATGAATTCTGTATGTGCACAAAGGTGACGCTGAGTTCAGAGAGGAGCCCTCTTCCATAATTACCAATTGTCATGGGTAGCTCTAGAAAAACATCAGCTGTCAAGACTGAGAAACCCTCTCTGCCTTCCCTCTCCAAAATTTGCCAATGCATCTAAATTATTATTTAACCATTGTTGAATCAAGCTTCAATCAATAACTAAAAACATTTTAGGGGCACCTGGGTGGCTCAGTTGGTTAAGCATCCAACTCTTGATTTCGACTCAGTCATGATCTCAGGGTCCTGGGGGGAATCAAGCCCCATGTTGGGCTCTGTGCTCAGCGGGAAGTCTGCTTCAGAATTCTCTCTCCCCTTCTCCCTCTGCCCTTCCCCCTGCTCCCTCTCTCTCTCAAATAAATAAATCTTTAAAAAAAAATCTAACATTCTGTCTTCCTTACTAGTGATAAAAAAGGAACTGTCAAGCATTACCATGTGCATACAAATGCTGAGAACAAATTGTACCTGGCAGAAAACTACTGTTTTGATTCTATTCCAAAGCTTATTCACTATCATCAACACAATTCAGCAGGTAATTTATTTCAGTTTTTCTTTTATGGGTCCTTGTTGATAAATAGCAATTTTCTTGGATACTACCAATCCTCCTAATATTCCTAATATTATCAGGAACCATGAAAATCAGAATAAAAATGCTCTCAAGCCACACACCTGCTGTGTTTTTTAGCCTACGTTTCCTGGAATATAATATTATATGCTCTAAAATGCCAGAAAAATGGAGTAAGCTGAGTGACTTAGAAGTAGAGATTCTCTTCATAAAAATATTTGCAGTCTTTTTCTGCCCATAGAAATAAGTTGAATACAAAATTCACACATTATAGAATTGTTTACCATTGGAGAGAGAGAACCTCCACGGACAAGTTGGTGTCTATCCTGACAGAATTTTTTCCTGTGCTGATACTAACACTTATTTATTATATATATTAATGAATTATATATGTGTATGTATGCACATTATATTTTTACCGAGATGAGATCATTCCACACATACTACTTTTCAGCTTGCTTTCTACATTCAACATGTCTTAGTGGTCTTTCCACACAAATACATATAGCTCACGGTCTATTTAGGAGCTACATAGAATTCTATTGTAGAATGCTCCATAATTTATTCACCTAACCCTGTATTGATTAGCAGTTGGATCGCATACAGTATTTTCACTTTACAATCGATGTTTCTGTGCACGGGCCTGTGCACGTGGCTCTGTATGAGTGTTTCTGTAGCCAGATTCCCTAGAAGTGGAATTTCTAAGATAATGTTAAGAAGATTTAAAACGTAGACATTTTCAAATGCTTTTCAGAGACATGCACTCCCGCCAACAGCAATCTCCTTCATCCTCACCAACACTGGGTACTATTACTCTTTAGATTTTGCCTAATTGACCCGTGAAACTGTATATAGAAATCCCTTCCAATGGAAGCGGGAACTCACCTGGTGTGGTGATCACTTCACGGTATATACATCTGTCAAATCATCACGCTGTTTACCTTTAAAATTACATATGGCCATAACATCTCAATAAGCTTAGAAAAAAAGAAATTTAAAAAAAGGAAATCTCCTCTAAGTGCCTTTTCTAGACAAGTGCCGCTTATGGGCAATGCCTGGACGGATTTCCAACAGCAAGTAAACATCTGTGGGCTCAGCATCAAATTTGTGCAAGTCTGTCTGACGTGATTACATGCACATAGTGGAAATAGCCTTACTCCTGGCTTTGATTTTGGTCCTTACTTGTGTTCTTCCTTTGTCCCAATTTCCTCAATTGTATATTTTAACCTCTAGCACCTCAAAAGTACCCTCAACAGGTATTGTATAAACAAATATCTCCAAGTAGAATGATTCCACTCCAGAGGATGCACGAGAAACTCTACAGGGTATAGAAAGAAAACATTAGAATCTTTCTTCAGATTTTTCTCAAAATCTCCTTAAGTTTTCTATTGTGAGTGTATTTTATGATTCACATAATGTATCAATACAGCAGCCATTTTGGAGGAGTGAGCTTTTTTTTTTTTTTTTTTTTGCTGATTAAAGGTTTGGGATTTAAAACATTTGGAGACCACTCATATAAAAAGTAAAGCAATATATAGAAAAAGGAAGGAGAGAAAAAGGACACATGCGACACTTCCCAGGACTTGGAAAATATCACACGTTTAAGCAAGAAACATTTTTTTCAATGAGTTCTTTCAAACCACTATAAATACTGATTATTTTAATCCAGCTTTATCATAACTTGATGTAAGCAATGAAAATGACTTGACCGTTTAATGCAACCTAGTAATAGGCTCAATGTTTAAAAATCGAGTGGTTTGCTTTTTATTTTGTGCCCTTCTGTACTGTTTGGTTTTTTTTTTTTTAACCAGATGTATGTGCTGTGTGTATATGTATTTAAATATGGGACTACAAAAAGATAGAACAAAAATGGGAAAATTTTTTAAATGAAAGATTCCATCGAGCAACTAATTTGATCGATTTTTAAAAATCACATAAAGTTGTTCTACTCTTTTAATTTTTGCTTTACATTGAGCTCATTAGTCAAGCCAAGCAAATCAATACAGCTACAGGATGAATGGGGCCAGAATGGATCTCCTGTCTCCATCACGACATCCTGAACTCTGTGCTTTTGCGGCTACTCTGGAGAGAGCACAAGCAGAGGTGTGACCTGGTGTGATATCATGTGATGTGACATGTTGTGGTGATATGGTGCTGGTTCCATTGCAGGCATGATCACACGACTCCGCCACCCTGTGTCGACCAAGGCCAACAAGGTTCCCATCTCCGTGTCCTTGGGAAGTGGTATGGACCTACATCTGGGCTCTTAAACTCCATTTCTCATCCATTTCTGGTTAAAAAATTATATATATATATATTATATTTTTATTATATATATAAAATATGTAATATATATATTTATTTAAAATATATTATATATATATTTACTTAAAAAAAAGAAGGAAGACAGGAAGAAAGTCCCTATTCAGATTGTGCCCGGGAAGGCTTCAGCAATAATATGTTTGTTCATTTTAAGAAAAAAAACCCAAACATCTTTTTTGTCCTCCCGACCTAACTCTGTAATCTCCTCAGCCTTACCAAAAAGATTGTCCAATTTGGCCTCTTATTAGACCCAGGCATCAGATTCTAGAACCCCATTGCCTGTCCTTTCTTTTTCCGGGCTTCTGTGCTTGCTCAGGGGAGCCCGTTTTCAACCTTGTGTATTTAGGATCATGACATCCACCCAGATCACAGTTTAGTTTGCTTTATAAGAAAACACTAGTGATTTTTTTTACCAAGCTAAGAGCATCGAGCGTGTCTTGACACCAGACGTTTCTAAGATGCCTCTGGGTGGCAGAGTGTTCTAAGCCTTTTGTCAAGAACTATAGCTGCTTCAAGAACTATATTGTCCTGGTGGCATTATCATGTGGTCAAATAGGTCATAAGACCATGTCACTAAGGATCTTTTTAAGTGATCAACTTAAAATAAAAAGTCTTGCTGTTCTTTATATTGTCAATATGAAACTCATTGGAGAAGAAATCACTTGGGAAGCTGTCAGCCCCAAAGCCTTCTATTCTCATCCTAAAGAGTGTCTATCTTGCCTTATTAGGAATATGGGAACTGAAAAGAGAAGAGCTTACCCTCCTGAAGGAGCTGGGAAGTGGTCAGTTTGGAGTGGTCCATCTGGGCAAGTGGAAGGGACAGTATGATGTTGCCATTAAGATGATCAAGGAGGGCTCCATGTCAGAAGACGAATTCTTCCAGGAGGCCCAGACCATGATGTAAGTTTCTTCTGAGGAATGGCAGTTTGGCCCTTACAGTGGAGGGACATTCATGCTAACAGGTCTGTCCCTAACATTTGCAAGGCCTAGAGCAAGAGCCCATGTATCATAGGTATACTTAGAAGTTATAAATCAAGCTGACACATTAAATAAAATCAGTTCTATGCTCCTACTTTGACAAGTATACCTCCGTAACAACCTGAGAGGCCATATTCAAGTTTAGAATTCTCAAGAGTCTTTAGAGAAACCAGCCTCTGGCCCATGTCACCCCCACTCCCACACCAACTCTACCCCTCTCCTTTCTCCTCCCACCCCCTGCTCTGTCCTGCCATGTGCTCAGTAATTATGTGTACACATAGCATTCAGTGCATCCAAGCTCCCTCTGTGTCCCTCACAAACAGCTCTGTATCAGTTAAGGATCTTGGTTGCGGGTAGACACACCAATAGCGTGGTTCACTCTTAGGGGAACTGGCCCAGGAAGGGCCCACCCAGGTCCTGGAAAAGGGCTCAGGACTATGTGGACAGGGGATTCTAGAGTCCTGGTACCCCAAGGGTGACCAAGAAAAAGAGATGCATGGATTCTGAGTAGGCATGTCCTTGCCCTTTGGGGAGGTGCATGGTGGGATGAAGAACAGAGTGGGGCCCTGTAGAGCACATGCCCAAGAGCAGGAGCCTCTAGTGGCCAGGACTAAGGCAATACTGAAAACCAGTGTCCTATGGACAATATCCTTTTCCTTCCTGGTACCTTCAGTACAGTCTGACAGAATCCCTTTCTCACCGCTTCTTTCCTCATCTGATAAATGAAGATACCCTTCCTAACAGGCCTTAGCTCCAAACACAGTCCGCAATGCTGATGTGTTCTTTCTCTCAGCTTGCTCACTCACATGTGCTCACTTTCTCTCTCCCTCTTCTGGCCCCCTCTTATCTATGTAAGTACAAAGAATTATTTTAATGATTCTACCTCTTCTTATAAACATGGTGAATCAGACTTTGAAAGGTGACCGACCATCCAGGTTTGCCTGAGACTTTCCTGCTTTAGCAATGAAAGTCCTCTGATCCAGGGACCCCTCAGTCCCAGGCAAACTGGGACAGCTGGTCATCCTGCCTTTAGGGAACTAATCAACATGATATGAAAAACAATGCCATAGCAGGATTTTGAGCAAAGACAGTTGAAATCACAAATCCTAGCCTGCTGCAGAGTAATGGCACTTTAAAAATTTTTTAAACACTTATATAATGCTTACAGGCATCTCTCTGAGCACTTTATAAATATTAATGCATTCAATCCTCCTAAGAAGCCTAGGAGGGATGTGCCATTGTTATCTGTGTTTTATAGGAAAGTGAAGCAGAGAAATGTTAAGTAACGGGCCCAAGGTCAGCAAGCTAGTAAAAGTTGGAGAACAGAGATGCAAACCCAGGCAGACATTCCAGTCCATTTCCTTAGTCATTCTTTTGTGAAGACCAAAGGTACCAGGAGAGTCCGAAAAATCGCTTTGACCACAATTGCAGAATTGTCTGGAAGCAGAGGTACTATGTGAACATAAGCCTGGTTTCACGGGCAAGCAACCTGCCCCGTTCTTGAGGGCCCCCACACTTAGGAGGGCTCTGCACTTGCTTTACTGCTGTGATGTCACAGCTTGAAATTCTTTTAAGACTTATTTACTTATTTTGAGAGAGAGAGAGAGAGTGGGGGGAGGGACAGAGGGAGAGGGAGAGAGAATCTCAATCAGACTCCCTTCTGAGCGGGGAGCCTGATACAGGGCTTGATCTCATGACCCTGAGTTCAGGACCTGAGCCAAAATCACGAGTCAGATGCTCAACCGACTGAGCCACCCAGGCCCCCACCATTTTGAAATTCTTACTAATTCTCAAATAAGGATCCCTGCATTTTCATTTCATACCGGCCTCTGCAAATTATGTAGCCTGTCCTGCCTTGGGCAATCATACTGTCATAAAACTGGGGAGGAGACCTGTGATGTCCTCCTTTTGCAGGACAGAAAAATGTAGCAGAAACTCCTGTAGGCTTACGGTGTAACCCCTGGTCAGTGACTGAATTTACTCAAGGAACAGCTTTTTTTGGGTGAGGGATCTTTGTCCAACCACTAGCCTTCCCTCTGCAGGGAGCAATGCTGAGTTCCAGGCCATTCTCTAAAATAGCTGATAGAGGCATAACCGAGCTCATAGCCTTGAGCAACCTGATAAGGCCTGTCCCTAAAGTAAGAAGAAAATAATGATTTAATTAATTATAACTATTTAACTATAACTATATAACTTTAATAAATGCTCATTAAAAAATTCTAAAATTGACATGTTGGCTTTAAATTTACTTTACACATCAGAACATTAAAGAATCAGCCTGTAAATTGATCAATTACACGGACAAGTGGATGAACACCATAATAGCAGAGCGTCTATCTGTCATGACCTACCAGAAGGGCTATGTCAGGTGGTTACTATTTTCTAAATTTATTATTGAAAGATAATGTGGGGCACCTGGCTGGCTCAGTCAGTCAAGCGTTGGACTCATGATTTCAGCTCAGGTCGTGATCTTGGGGTCATGGGATCGAGCCCCGTGTAGGGCTCTGCATGGGGAGTCTGCTTGAGAGTCTCTCTCTCCTTCTCCCTCTGCCCCTCCCCTACTTGCTCTCTCTAAAATAAATAAATCTCAAGAAAAAAGAAAAAAAGAAAGATAATGTAACAATAATGTAAAATGAATTTCTTTAAAAAAGAAAGAAAAATCATGGGTAATCTCACTTCCGTAACATGGCAACTATTTTCATTTTTCCTGCACCCTTCATATTCTGATACAATTATTTTTTGAGAACGAAGTATTTGGACTTCAAAACTGAGAAAGTGAAATGGAAGTGATTGCCTTTAGTGTGTAGCTTCCTCCAAATCAGTCACGGAAATTCTCTAGATGCCAGGGGACTAAACAGGATTTAGGAGACAACAGACCATTGCTTTGCTGATTCTCCGTAGGACAGGCGAACCCAGGAGGCAGCTTTTTTTTTTTTCCTTTTGCCTTCAAAGGTTGATGCTCCCAGAATAAAATCCACAACTTTTCCTGCTCTTTCTCTGTTCAAGTAGAATGGGGGACATTAAAACCAGCAAAAATCTGCAAGTGATTCATGTTCGGGACATCTGGAAAGTGGAGTGTGCAAATTTAGTACTAATCTTTGAAAATCTGTGGTTTCCAGGAAACTCAGCCATCCCAAGCTGGTGAAATTCTATGGAGTGTGTTCAAAGAAATACCCTATATACATAGTGACTGAATATATCACCAATGGCTGCTTGCTTAATTACCTGAAGAGTCATGGAAAAGGACTTGAAACCTCCCAGCTCTTAGAAATGTGCTATGATGTGTGTGAAGGCATGGCCTTCTTGGAAAGCCATCAGTTTATACACAGGGACTTGGTAAGCAAAGTCGCGGGCCCCTCAAAGCAAGCAAGGGATCCACACAGTCCGCGCCTCCAGAGCTGGTGCCCTTGGCCGGCAAGGAGGGCGTCTCCACTTGTGCTTTGCTCCCTTGTGACTTGCCCAAGCACATGACACTTTTGTATTAAGAACCACAATTTCAAAATAAAATATTTGCGGTACAGAAAGAGAAGAAGAAGCCGTCACGATTTATGTAGCTGTGTTGTAGTATGGAGGAAAACAGATAAAAAGGAAAGACTTTGGTCGTTTTAGTGCGTGTCACAACCATGAAACCCAAGCTGACCTTTGCTCCGGGAAGGGCTTAGCGCTAAAGCAGTCAATGAATACCAGCACTGAGAAAAACAAAACCAGGAGGAAATGAAATTTGTGTGTATCTTTGGCTCAGGCTGGGAGTGGGGAGCGTTCTACTTACTATGCACTGCTATTTACCTTTAGAGATTTTCTTGTGCCGAACAGCAAACATGCCGTGTGTGCTAGGCCAGAATTTATGCCTTCAAAGCGCCCGTTAACACGTGGCACCCCAGTGGTGGAGAAGGAACCCCTAGAAATAGCTTTTCCCTTCTTGCTGACGAGCTGAGGTTCTGTGTTTAATGTGTAATACCCTTCATGCTGTTTGACAAGGGTGGATGCTTGGGTAAAAATACAGATGGGAGCACAGTTTCATTTTGAAAAATTGAGAATTGCAAAGGGAAAAAAGACAACTTCTCAACATTTGCGGTTTTGATAGGCGATCTTAGATTTTGTGAGTACTCTGCCAGAGAGAAGGAAGATCTTGGATTCTCATCTGGGGAGATTCTTGGCCACTTTTACTACTTGGTAATTTTGCTTTTCCCCCAAAGGCGGCTCGGAACTGCTTGGTGGACAGTGATCTCTCCGTGAAAGTGTCTGACTTTGGAATGACAAGGTAAGCCAGCTCCAGCTCAGCTCCCAAAGGGCAAGCTGTGGAAGAGGGACTTCCATTCACATCCACATGCCGGCAGAATTGTGGGCCTCGTGGCGATAGGGAACGTGCTCTGCACTGGGGGGTTCGAAACCTGGATTCCCTCCCCATACTACTTCCGACCACCTAGGAAACATGTTTTGCCTCATTTCTTCACCTGGAAGATGGGATTGTTCTTCAGAAATTATCCAAAGTCCCTTTTCCTTCTTTCAAAACTCGGATAAATATTTTTTAAACTTA